TAGACACCAAATTCTATAGGTAGTGAGAACTATCTTATTGTAATATATGCTTTATCAGTCTGCCTGTGGAACTCCAAGACTCACCAGTTCACCATGATTAGATAATCTAATGAAATTTCACAAAGTATGAGTTATAGATCAGAAGCTTAGTGAAATATTGGCCATGGGGCCCAGGAACCCAGTAGACATCATTTGCTGGGAAAGAGTGACTCTTAAATTGAAGCATTTAAGAAAATAGACCAGACTATCAACACTGTTCTTAAAACCAAGCATATCACAAAGTTACTTAGAAACCTTTGGATTGCTTATATCAGAATCTAAAAACTCTCTTACTTGGAATATTAGAATAAATTTCTGTTAGAGTCTTACAAGCTTCGATCATGCCTGGATTTATTTTTTGGAACTTAACTAACACTAAAATACAAGGGGGAATATTATTAACTTTTTAAACACTGCTAAAATACCACTAGCCTCTGAACACATGAAAGGGATTTGCCAAATTGTCCAGGATACAACATCATGGGCCAAGAAACACTTGGACCAAGGTGCCACTGAGACCAAACCACAGCTTTCAGCATCGACCATGCCATTTTTATGCCAAAGACACCACAAATAGAAGTCAGAGACCTCACTAACTCTTAAACAATAGTACAAGAGACCATGGATTGTCAACAAATACACAGGAATAAGAAAATCATAACAATCACCAGTTCATAAATTTTAGTATCGTAAATAACCAAAAGAGACCTCTTTCATACACCCCTGGCAACAGACCATTGGACTAAATCAATGCACTTAGCCTTGCATCACTCTGAGCACTGCCTAGCCCTCAAGTCGGATTCAAGTTAAGGTTTGGCAGATCTCTCAAAGCCTTTAACCACTTTCTTCTTGCCAAATCCATGCCAAAAATCTACTTACTCTTCCAGTGAAGAGATTCAAGATCCCGGCATCCTAACCTACTTAATGACGATGGTTTTCTAAGAACTTTTTTTTGGAATTCATGCTTCTACTGATTGTAGTATCACAAGTCTCAAGTCAGAGAGAGAACCATCTGCCCCCCGTGGCTGCCACGGTACTCTTTCTTTGGCAAGGATCGGATCTGGAATAGGACCTGCCTGGCAACCTTCCAGAGTGACCTGTCCAATGCTGTTGATACCAGTTCTTGCAGAAATTACTCTCTAGTCAATGGAAACTTGACTTACTCAAATCCCTGAAAACAGCAGCACAGACATGTCAGTCAAATGCTACATGTGTCAGAAGAACATAACAGAGGCAAGCAATGTCTTGCCAAACAGTTCTTCTCTCCTTAATGCTAACTGGTGTACCCCCCCAAAGAATGTGCTATAGAAATATTCAAATGGTAGTTTTATTTATTACTATCATTTTGTTGTAAGATATTCAAGTACCTTATTATTACCGTTTTTCTGTTTTTAATGTGTTAAACATGGCACACACATTTTGCGTGCATTGTTTTGGCCTGAAGTGACTCTGAGCACTCTGCATGGCAGGCTGGCAGCTCCATCATTTGCTTCTCAGAGCGGGTGGAATTACTGCTGATGCTGCCACGCCTGAGTATGGACAGAATCCACCCGGCTTTGGGTGCAGATTCCTCAAGTGGTGGAGAATGAAGGCTTTGGAGTCTGAGTGACTGGGTTTGAACGTTGACTCTACCTTTGAACTATGTGATACAGAAAAGCAGAGCTATTCTGCTTCATGTTAGAAATGAGGACAGTAATACTTTGGAAGTTTTGCTGAGTATTAAATGGGGTTCTTAGGACAGGGATGGTATAGAAAATGCATCTTATATGACTTTTATTTTTGCTGCCTATATAAAGTCTTCCCACAGAAATGAAAGCAACCTGATTTCAACAAGTTCACAATCTTTTGGAAAGCAAAACAAATATTTAATACAGAAAAATATTTTTGATCATTTCAAATAATAATAATAAATTGCTAAATTTGGCATCTATTCTGACATTCATGTTTCGGCATCCACATATTATGGATAAGTAGTCTGGGTATGAAAGTGTGTGTGTGTGTGTGTGTGTGTGTGTGTGACTGTGAATGTATACAGAGGCCAGAAAATATTCTTTGGTGTCATTTGTACCTTGTTTTATTGTTGTTATTGTTGTTGTTGTTTTAAGACAGAGTCCCTCACTGGCTTGGAAGTCATCATGAAGACTAAACTGGTTGGCCAGTTGGCCCCTCTGTTTCCTAAGCACTGGGATTACAAACACTGCCACATACCCAACTTACTCTTTGTTTACATGTGTTCTGAGGATGGAACTCGGGTCCCTATGGGGTAAGTTCTTAACTAATTGAGGTACTGTACCACATTCAGCCTCTAAGAACATTTCTGTAAATTAAAGATAACAGCAGTAATTTCCATTATTTTCTAGCCAACTCCATTTCCTATGAACATCTCATACACTAAATAGGGGGCAATTACACTATAGCCATAGTTATTTAAAGAACCCAAATTGTGAAGATGGGGATACAAATGACAAACTGTATGGTAATTGCTATCTATTAAGCCCTACTGTTTGCCATTCTTTGAGTTATAACTCTGGCCCTAGAGAAACACTTTCAGATTCTCATTGTTCATTTGAGACTGATGAACAGAGAGATTTTGTCACCCATCTATGGTTATACTGGTATAAATAGCAGAGCTGTTAGACTCAGTTCCTTCTGGTGTTCTAACCAAGTTCTTCCTCCCTTGCTGGGCACCTCTAAGCTCAGGGAGATGGACCCAAGAAGGAATGTGTTTCCAGAATGTGGTTTCTGTGAGGATGCAGACTCCAAATATTCCTTCACCTGTAATTATGATACTGGAAATTTCTCAAAGCATATTTACTTATGTAAATTTTAAATGAATGGAAGTTCATTTAGAAGTACTCACTAAAAGGGGCTGGAGAGATGGCTTGCAGAAGACCTGGGTTTGAATCCCAGAACTCACGTGGCAGCTGACAACTGTCCATAACTCCAGTTCCAGGGGATCCGACAGCCTCTTCTGTCCTCCACATGCATTGCATGACATGGGTGCACTTACCTACATGCAGGCGATACACACATACACAGAAAATAAATAAATAAATAAAATATTAAAAAAGCAAGATGTCTATTACTTGAGGTTAAAATGAGATTATTAAGTAACATCATAGCAATTATAAGGAGTTGGAGGTGTGTGAAGGAGGGAAGGAGGGAAAATAAATGCACAGAGCTGGTAAATGGCAACAATAGTGAAACTTGCTACAATTGTTTCTTGGAAATTTTGCTTTTTTGAATATTGTTAGTGCCCTTGATGTACAGACTTTTAAACATGGAACTTTTAAACATACCTACAAAATATTTTCTGAAGAGGGATGATTTTCAATATTTGAATCTTAGAACAGAAGATGGATGTTCCTTTGATGGATCTTTTAAAAGCGGTGGTGAGTGGGTCAGGGAAATGGTCAATGGTAAACAGATGGCATTGGCTTGTAAAACCACATGGGGCTGGGAATCTGCTAAATCTTAAGCTGTAACCACAGGTGAAGTATGCTAGTGTTCCTTATGGCGTTTTAGCTACTGTTTTCAGAGGAATATCTTGTCTAATCCTTGGGATCATGGACTCATGAACTGTCTTCTTAAGTGTATATGTGTACAGCTGGAATGTGATAACATCGGTTTTATTTTAAAAACTTGCTGATATACTGAAAATGAAAGGAAATGAAAGCTTTAATTGCCTGTTTTGGTGATTATCTTCAAGTGATATTTTCACCACACATACAGCATTATTTCTAAGGAAAGAGACACTACCCTTTGCGTAGAATTGTGTAGTATGCAGCTGTTCACTATATCTGAGACTGGCGTGGTCATTTCTCAAGTCAGTTTACCTGCATTGTAGACAGTGACATAAATCCAAACTAGAGGCAGAATTTATTAGGAAGAAATCAGGTTTTATCACTAACTTCTTTAGTAGTGTTGACCTTTCAGGGCAGATTGAAAGAGTTCCCAACTGACATACTGTACTGAAACCTTCCACGACTTTGGCTGTTTTGGTTAAAAAAATCATAGTGAAAAATGTAAGTTTTTAATTTGAAAAACTTTAAAATTTATGAAGATATCTTTTCACTCTTGTCTGTTTTCTGATAAATCACTCTTTGATGATTCCGAACTTCTGAATATTTTAGTGTGCTAGGTCAGCACAGAAACCTTTATAGAAGCAAAGCACAGTCATCCAAGACAGGAAATTAATATGGACATATTGTCACAGCCTCATTTTAGGCTCATTCGGGGTTCCTCAATTGTCCCCATAAAAGCCCTTTGTAGTCAAATGTCCCATTGGTGTATGTTTTTAACTTGTTATGTTTCTTTAATCTGAAAGATTTTCAGCATTTCATTGCTTTGTATGATCTTGGCACATTTAAAGATTAAACAACATGTTTTAGCTATTTTTGTTTTAGACTATCTCCTCCCACATCATAAATTTGGGTTTTTCTTACCTTTCTTACATGATT